TGCACTATCTCCCTTCAACCCTTTAAGCGAAATGCGGGAAAACAAAAGGAAAGAAAATCCATGGACCGACCCCATCGTCTCCACCCCGTAGGGACTACGAGATCACCCCAAGGACGCCTTCGGCATCCAGGGGTTGCAGACCGACCATAGAACCCTGTTTAACCTGAAAAGGGATAACTAATGCGTTCTCAGGTTGAACATTTAAGGGTCGGAGAAGTGCAATTACTCATTCTTAACTTAAAACCTACATTCTTAAGAGCAAAGAGCCGGACGGAAAAGGGGGGAGAAGCTCTTCGTTCTCGATTCTCCTATAGCTGGATCCTCTGGAACCACAAGAATCCTTGTTTGAATGGGATTCTAACTCAGCACCCTTTGATATTTTGAGAAGAGTTGCTCTTTGGAGAGCACAGTACAATGGAAGTTGTAAGCTATGTTCGGAGGGTTATTGTCTATCATTGGCCTCTATGGTATAATCAGTTGGGGCTTGAGAGGCGGTGATTTACCATGTGGCGGATGTCAGCGGTTCGAGTCCGCTTATCTCCAACTCATTAATTTTTATGATATAAAACTCTATGATAACATTTATAGCACTCTATTTTCTCGATTCGGTAGTTTAGTTTAAGCTATGTTTATGGACGTTGATAAGATCCTTTCATCTAGCAGCACCTTAGGATGGCATAGATTTAAAGTGAAGGGCAAGGGTCAAACGAGGAAAGGCTTATGGTGGATACCTAGGCACCCAGAGATGAGGAAGGGCGTACTAAGCAACGAAATGCTTCGGGGAGTTGCAAAGAAGCAAAGATCCGAGGATTCCCGAATAGGTCAACCTTTCGAACTGCTGCTGAATTCACGAGCAGGCAAGAGACAACCTGGCAAACTGAAACATCTTAGTAGCCAGAGGAAAAGAAAGCAAAAGTGATTCCTGTAGTAGCGGCGAGCGAAATGGGAGCAGCCTAAAACGTGAAAACGGGGTTATGGGAGAACAATATAAGCATTATGCTGCTAGGCGAAGCAGTCGAGTGTTGCACCCTAGATGGTGAAAGTCCAGTAGCCGAAAGCATCACTAGCTTATGCTCTGACCCGAGTAGCATGGGGCACGTGAAATCCCGTGTGAATCAGCAAGGACCACCTTGCAAGGCTAAATACTCCTGGGTGACCGATAGTGAAGTAGTACCATGAGGGAAAGGTGAAAAGAACCCCCGGCGGGGAGTGAAATAGAACATGAAACTGTAAGCTCCCAAGCAGTGGGAGGAGCTAAGGGCTCTGACCGCATGCCTGTTGAAGAATGAGCCAGCGACTCATAGGCAGTGGCTTGGTTAAGGGAAACCACCAGAGCCGTAGCGAAAGCGAGTCTTCATAGGGCTATTGTCACTGCTTATGGACCCGAACCTGGGTGATCTATCCATGACCAGGATGAAGCTTAGGTGAAACTAAGTCGAGGTCCGAACTGACTGATGTTGAAAAATCAGCGGATTAGTTGTGGTTAGCGGTGAAATGCCAATCGAACCCAGAGCTATCTGGTTCTCCCCAAAATGCATTGAGGCGCAGTAGTTGACTAGACATCTAGGGGTAAAGCATTGTTTCGGCGCGGGCCGCGAGAGCGGTACCAAATCGAGGTAAACTCTGAATACTAGATATGACCCCAACGGGTCAAGGTCGGCCAGCGAGATGATGGGGGATAAGCTTCATCGTCGAGAGGGAAACAATCCAGATCACCAGCTAAGGCCCCTAAATGATCGCTCAGTGATAAAGGCGGTAGGAGTGCAGAGACAGCCAGGAGGTTTGCCTAGAAGTAGCCACCCTTCAAAGAGTGCGTAATAGCTCACTGATCGAGCGCTCTTGCGCCTAAGATGAATGGGGCTAAGCGATCTGCCGAAGCTGTGGGATGTAAAAATGAATCGGTAGGGGAGCGTTCCGCCTTAGAAAGAAGTACCCGCCCGAGCAGGGTTGGATGAAGCGAAAGCGAGAATGTCGGCTTGAGTAACGAAAACATTGGTGAGAATATAATGCCCCGAAAACCTAAGGATTCCTCCGCCAGGTTCGTCCATGGAGGGTTAGTCAGGGCCTAAGATCAGGCTGAAAGGCGTAGTCGATGGACAACAGGTTATCATTCTTGTACTGCCCCTTATTGGTCTCGAGGGACGGAGGAGGCTAGGTTAGCCGAAAGATGGTTATCGGTTCAAGAACATAAGGTGACTCCCTGTTTTTTCATGGTAAGAAGGGGTAGAGAAAATGCCTCGAGCCCAAATTTGAGTACGAGGCGCTCCGACGCTTAAGTAATTGATTCCATACTCCCAGGAAAAGCTCAAACGACCTACAACAAGAGGGTACCTGTACCGGAAACATACACAGGTGGGTAGGTAGAGAATACCTAGGGGCGCGAGACAACTCTCTCTAACAAACTCGACAAAATAGCCCCATAAATTCGGGAGAAGGGGTGCCTTCTCACAAAGGGGGTCGCAGTGACTAGGCCCGGGCGAATGCTTACCAAAAACACAGG